TATAAAAAGGAATGCAACGCATTATTTTCATTCTCTACATTTCCACTCAAAAATTCCACTCATAGTTGCATTTTCAAAGCCTCCTGCATTAGCTCTTAATGTAAATTTTGTATTTATCTTAATATTTTATATTTAAGGTTCTGTATATCCAAAGAATATTATTACTTTTCAACTTGTCTCTGGGAAAAACACATCCTTGCCTCTTACCCCAGTAGTATTACTTTCGGCACAGTTAGTAGAAAAATATTCACAATAATCATGGATATTCCAACTGGGGAGGAGATTCAATACCACACTTCATATTATTTTGAATGAGAAGAATTTACACAAAGTCTTTGATTTCTATTAAGTTCAGGAAAAAATAGGAAATGTTTTCTTAAAGAACAGCCAAAAAATGGACTATTGTTTCTCCTGTGGTCAGGTTTTGTTCACAATGTTTTCCCTCCCAATAATACCCATCTTCCTGTGTTTACATTCATATACCAACAAAAAACATTCACTAAAGAGTTCCAAGTGGCCTTGGAGCGTGGTTTTGGCCTCTTTTTTTGGGAGGCCGTGGGGGTGCTTAAAGGGGAGGCTGTTTTGTTCGTGTCTGGGTGCATGTGCAAATATGTGCACACACGTGCATGTAAGAGCTTTTAAAGACCATAAACCAGTTTAGCTGTTACTTACATTTATACTAAATAAAGGCCATTGGTAATGATCACCTCATTTAACATGCTTTTACTCAGTCTCTATCATCATTCTCGCATGGAATAGCACTTGCATTATGTTGTCAGACATCACAGTTAAGGTTGCCCAGGTATCGCAGCTATGCCTGCAACTGCAACATCCTCTGAATTTCCTAAATTTTAATACTGGTTTTGAGATACAGAATTTCTGTAATGTTTATCCTTCGTTTATCAATAAAGTCCCACAACCATATTTAAAAAAAAATAAAAATTCAGAGTTCATACTTTGAAATGTCTCCAAAAATTTATTTTTAAAAAATCTGAAATATTTTACTTGTTTACACAGCAACTGAATTTTAGACTGACAGTTACAGAATAAATCTTGACTTTAAGGCCCTTTATATTCACAGTCATTCCTAAGTTCCACCATCTCCCCCATCCTGTCTTTAGAAAGTCTGCGTCTTTTGATTTCAGTTGTCCCACCCCCTGTTAAACTATAGCCATAAAATACGAGTTTTACAATATCCTGTATTTTATAAACGATGAAGTAACTTTTGAAAAGCCAAAAAAAATAAAACCAAAGACAGTGTGGCTAAAAAACAAGGCCAAGAGACCTTTAGAGGTAAGAAAATACTGTTCAAAAAGTTGAAGTCATGCCCAAACAAGTTCAGAACCACCACCTTTGGCACATTCAATACAAAATCACGATAAAAATGGCCAAAAATATTTGAGAAACAATTTGCTAAAGGCATAAGAACTAACACCAAATCCTCCTTCAACATGCAAAAGCAAGAAGCCTGCCAGCATCCCCAGGGCCAACAGATGATCAAGATGTAAAAGCATGTCTTCAAATAATACATGACCATTTAAAGAAAGCTACATGAATTTGTAAATAGTTTTAATGAAGTACTTTTATGGTGATGCCTTTATTTTTTTTTACGAGGATGGTATTGAAAGACAGGCCTCAAACTGAAGCTTCAATAGAAGGATTTTAGAACAAAATTAATAAAAATTCAAGTATAAAACCTACTGTGATACTAACTGTGGCATTTAAAGTAACACTTTTCTTTTTCCAAGAAAGCTTCCACAAAAAGTAAGCCACCACAGAACAAGAAATACATTCCCAGCAATATTTAAATAACTGGGCTTCTAAGCCTTTCTTGAGAAAGTTATCTTGATCTAGTACAAAGGTCCTAGACTTACAAAGTCTCAATATCACAAATTGCTAGAAGCTTGGACAACACAGTGGAGGTGCTTTTCCCAGTCCCATACTTTCCCTTAAAGACCTGCAAACATCCTCTATCTGAAACAGGACACCAAACTATCTACAGCTCTGGCTTGACCCAATGTCTCAATTCCTACATTCCTGACAGTTCCGCATGGATTACAATGTGCAAGAGCTTGTATTCTGTATATTTTGAAATACTATTTCAAACTCTCATTTCCCCACACCGGAGGTTTTTTGCCAACCTTTTTGATCTCTTGCTTATCGTAGTTATCCGAAACCCAAAGACATGAGCAATTTCATAAACAGGGAATCAAAATAGTTTACAAAACCTGGCCCTTAAAAACTGCTTGTAGGAAACGAATGCCAAAGAACATCCTTTTTCAAGACTGAATATAAAGCTGATATAACAGACTCTCAAGGCTTGAATTTCTATCCCCAGCAATCACTGAAAAAAGTTAAAAAGTCTAAAGCAGCACAAATGTGAAATATTTTATTTCCCAAAGAATCCGTAAGTTAAAATTATTTGGTTTAACATATATTAATACTTAATCATTTAGAGCAAACCTTCAAGAAAGCTTTACGGGAATCATAACAAACTTTTCTCTTAATTCAAGATTATTTTTTTTAAATTCGAAATGTAATTTGATAAACCAGCTGTTCTGTGAAGTAATTTAACAATAAATATTAAAAGTCTGCATGTACAGTACTCAGTACACACAGCAACCAAAGCCTAATTTTCTTCTTTTTATTTTCTCTCTCTGTACAACAGAAAAACAAATTCCTTGTAGAAAATGTTAGGATTAATTTCTGCCAAATTTACCACTTCACGACAATTTAAAATGAAAAGACCTGTGAAATTAAAACAATAAAATATTATATTGTGAAAACCATAGAAACCTAAATTGACTGTACATTTTGGTTATTTTATGTACATATTTTAAATGCTTTTACATACAAGTGTATATGCCTGTATGTAAAACGAAACATGAAATGAATGTGCATGCACACAGTTTTTACTTATACATAACATGTAAGTTTCACTTGTTACTGTTTTTTTTAAATACATAACCACACAAAATCAATTTAGAAACTTACAAGAGGGGGTATAATCACTATTACAAATACAGTCTAGTCTGATTTTAGGTACACCAATTGACAAAACTTATCTTCTCTTACGAAGCACTGTCAATCTTAGAGCTTTCCAAATCAAGGCATCTTCTAGAGTTTACGTAGTAGTACCTTTATTTTCTAAAAATTTCATACAATAATGATGTATGTTAACATACTATTTTCTTGCTTAGCCTTGGCAATTTCACCTTTTGAATATTTGCAGATGTTTACGCCCCCATTCCCAACTCCTGTTGTGATCTGGCCAAATTTTAAGTTTCATTTTCTCAACTTTTCCTACAATTTAATTTTTCCATCCCTCTACCCCTTAATGAACTTCATGGTTCACATTGCTGGATACACATATTTTAAACAAGAGTCAGGCATCGATATATTTTAAAACTGCACTAAACATAAATTACATTATAAAATAAAACATTATGGGCTTCTGAAAATGGAAAAAAGAATGGTATTGATTACAGAAGAGTTCTCACTTCCTGTAAACACTTCTATCTCCCCCTCTCTCACACACACATACACACACACACTTTAAAGGAAAGCCAGAAACAAGAGTTTAATTAAACACCGCTAGTCTGAATTTCAAATCACTGAATAAACAGATGGCCACACTTCACAGACCGCCAGCAGTCTTTTTCAATTAACTGGGATTGGTATTAATGCAATGTCATGAAAGTTAAAAGATTTAAACCAAAGAAATATATATGTGTGATAGTTATAAATAGTATAACATTAAAGTATTTACCGCTATATAAAATTAGTACCAGCAAAAAGAAAAGAGACTTCTATTTAAGGCTATCATTAAACCCAGACATCTCCTTTAAGTATATCAGGATGCTTGCCTGCACTTGCATAGACCTCAAAGTTTTAAAAAACTAAATAAAGGTGTCCTTCTCAGCTTTTCCATAAAAAATCTCTAATATTGGGCTTATACTCCCTAATTATCACGGTCCTGAATACCGCAATATTTACATATATTTGCTTAAATGGGTAAGCATTTACTAAAGTAAAACCAATATGGTGTTCCTTGAGTAGAAAGATCTGACACTTCTGCATTCAGTACAACTTTCCTTTGCGTAAATACTAAAAAGGACACTTGCCATTACTAACATTGAACTTAAGAGTGAACATCTACACAAATTTTCAACAGCACAAGACAGACTTAAATACAGAGGAAGCATCACAGGATATTTCTGATGCTCTTCGGTCTCTGTCAAAATTTAGTCCTACACCCTGCTACCTTGCTCTCCCCACTGTTTCTGCAACAGGACTCTAACCCTGCAGAACTCCTGGGATATAGTTTACATCACCTAAATCTGAACTCTGCTACCCTAATTCTTACATTACTTTAACAATTTCTGAATAAATGTTTTCCAAAACACTTATTCTAGTCATTTGGTTTTGCCTTTTCCTTTTCCTTTTGAGAGGAAAAGAGAGATGAAGAATAAATTCACTTTAATGTTCACTTAAAGTAGTACTTAAATATTTTGGAGGGGAAAATGACATTTGCACATATTTTTTTATCCAGGGGACCCTCTTCTGTTAAGGCACCCTCTAACTATCTTAGCCCTTTACACCTTCCAGTCACAGAAGCATTCTGTGTTTAACACAATATTAGACTTGCAAAAGCACTTTTCTACAGGAGGACAGGTCCATTAATACATAACAAACAGAGTACATCCTTTCAGTGCAATAAATCTGATGAACAGGAAAAAAGTTTACATAGTTATTAATCTGTTTTCTTAAATAAAATAATAATATAAGCAACAAATGGAGATTAACTCATGGATTTCAAGACAATATTGACATGCAGATATATATATATATGTAAATAACTGACAGACATGTAGAATGTAGTCTGGAAATAATGTTAATATTTTAATTTACCATTAATAGATACACTTTATTTGGAATCTGTAAACAAATTACAGAGAAAGAGAGCAACTTTTTGAAATATTTATAAAAGTAGCAAATACCTGAAGTACTCACAGCAGTGGAGTAAGGGGTATGAACTCCTGTATTTTCAGCCCAGCAGCCACAACCATAAAGAGCTGCCTAAGGAAAGAAAAGCATCTTTCGTAAATGTAAGTATCCAAGGTTTATTCTTTCTTCCCTTCCCTTAAAAAAAAAAATCCAGAAAACCCAAACCAACAAAAAAGAAACCCAAGAAAAACGCAAGTATTAATGCAAAAGATAAATAAGATGATCATAACAGTCAAAATTCCAATTTTGCTGCATTTTCCATTACTAGTCTTACAAATTGAGTTATTATTACAAATATATGGTACTGTAACCTAACTTTGCAGAAAATGATACAGATGCTAAAAGATAAAATAATTCCAGCTGTTCCCTCTTTATATAAAGCCCCTTTCACCCTGCTATTCCAAAAGAAAGTCTTAAATACATTTCAAAAGAGAACTGCTTTTAGGACAGTGGCAAAAGTTGACCAAAAATACAGACATACAGGAATGGTGTATGACATTTCTGATGCACCTCAAAATTCCCAAGATGGAATGCTTATAATTGATGTGTTAATACCTTAGCCACTTCTACCAATTCACAAGATCATTTAAAAATTTAATTAGGACAACTTGATTAAATATTGATTAAAATCTTATTTTAAAAACACTTTAAGCATCTAAGAGACTGCTTGTGGTATTAAGAAGACATTCAAGCCCAATAAATTAAGTTATTAATAGCTCTGGCAAAAGGTAACTAACTATAGAACAATTTCTTACCTATCAACGTTTTATAACACTGACAGAGGACACCAAAAACAAAACTTGCATTCCAACACAGTGATAATGCCTTCAGAGTTTAATGGGAAGGGACAACATCAGTTTGCTATCACAGCTCTCGCTTAGTGTCACAATTGCTGAACAGTCATTCCCAACTGAAAAGGTATAATCACCTGACCAACTCTTCCAGGATGCTTTAGTGCTAAACCTCCACTGGAGACAGCAGCAGCAACATTTCCTTCTTGATCAATAACAACTGCACCAACTGTATCCAATGTTCCTGAGTCATTCTCCTGCAGGACACACAAACAGAAACAACTAATAAAAACAGTATATTAAAGTCAGATTATAATTCTTAGGAGTGTGCAAACTAACGTGCACAAAACAAAGTGACAAGCCAGTCAACAAAATGCATTTGCTATCATGCTTATTGTACCGATTGTGTTGCCATAAATCTTTCCAAAACGCTCTCTTGCCTCAGACAGGACCTAAAGAAAATTTCTCTGGAAACAAGAAGCTAAGAATAAACATCTCAGGACTCACCCAATGCTTAGATTACCTGCCTTTACTCACAAAAGTGCCAAAAATGTTGTTTTCTTAGTGGTGGGCACCTGTCCACTAAGAAATTATTCAGCAACTCATTCCAAAGATGCCATATCAAAAGGCCTTTCCAAAAGCTTCGAGATGGCATTTTCAGAGACTGATGTTTAAAGCTATGCATGATTCAAAAAAAAAAAAAAAAAATCCACAAGAAGCAGCTTACCATGAAAAGAGAAAATTCTGATATCCTGAAATAATAAATAAAAGCCTTGAGAAGAAGTCTCCCCCAGTACGGATTCTATCTCCCAGACTTGCTCAGTTCAGTAATCTTTAGTGGCTTCCTGGTTGAAAGAAATTACCCTTCGCTCCCTTTGGGTCACTAGAAAAGCATCCTTAGTCTCATCACTTCGGAGGCACATTTGCTCCCCTAAGAGCAGGGGTCTTTCCGCACTCATTCCTGATGCAAGCTCTCTGCCTACTGTCTCACAAACACTTCAGCTGTCTCACCTTGGATCTTGTCATTCTTCCCCCCTTCCTTAATATACCACACTCAGTCACTAAGAGAAAAAGCAGTTTTCCACTCTCTGCCTAGTCTTGCCCTAGATTCTCTTCCATGCAGAACCCAGGCCAAGGCACTCTGACTTCATGCCCAATCACACACTCTTGATGGGACACACCATACAGTGTACATAAAATGAATAAACAAAACTGATTCATCATCCATCACATACTCAAAAGATGAACACTGCTGTTGCAGAAGCCCTCAAGCCTTTAGCTGATCAGTCTTTCTTGTGTAAAAGCTTACCTCCATTAAAAAAATCCTACATAAACTTACACAAGCAAATAATCCCAAAGGATATCAAGCTATTCATATAAATGCAAATTTTCTGGACTAGGATCCAGAAGGAGGAAGAAAAAAAAAATCTACACCCAAATATTCAAATTCAAATTATCAAGTTCCCATCATCCATTAAAATTTCCTTGGGCATACAACACCACTTGTCAAGCAGAATTCTTAGGAGACTCATGCAGATGATACTCCAGCCACGCTTAACTTGAGAGGTAACACTTGAGTTAATACTGTGCCGGTCTTAAAAGGAAAAATATGCAGTGCAGCACCACAGTCTTCTACAGAATTTTTCAAGCAACTGTAACTCCTAAGGAAGGAGCGTCATCCTTGGCTTTTACTCAGAGTAACGGTAAGTTTCTTCTCTTCACCTACACCTAGCTCTTACGGAACAAGTTCTATACTCAGAAGCTGGTACTAACCATATTCTATATTAAAACAAACAGATGTATGGCCTAACAGTAAAGAATAACTGCTTAGAAAAAGAGAGGTAAAAAATTATAGATACAGGGTCTCAACTGGCATTGGGAAGAAGAGTAAGTCGAAAAGCAGAGGAAGGTAGAAACCAGGATCAGTGAAGGCAGAAGGAGAGGCAAAAGGAATTTTGAGGACTAGAGCAAAGAGGATAAAAAAGAAGCAGGTTCCCTTCCAAGTTGTAAAGGCAAAATAAAATTAAGGAATCTTTCCTTAACATCCCATGGGCAAATGTATTTCACACGTCCCAGGACACATCTCCCACAACCTAATTCAAGTATTATTAACCCAGGTAGAACAATACTATTCCATGGATTGAAAAGACCTTAAGCAGCAGAGCAGACTGCTCACTGGAGGTATAGACTCCCACCTTCGGTGGTTTTCAAGATCAGACTGGACAAAGCTCTTCCCAACATGAATTCTCCTATGATCCCACGATTTCTGTATCAAGAAGAAGAACTACTAATATGATGCAGGTTTTGTTGCCCATCCTCTCCCTCCTTTTATCAAAGGAAATTATACCCACAACAAAAAACTTGATTAATACAACTACAGATATGAAAATCAAGCTTGTCCAAGTTAGGAAATGCCAGAATTAAGGCCAACTGTGTAATCTTAATTCATATTAAATCAAATACTTGGGGCTCCCATAACGAACAGAAATGCATTTTAGAAGGATAAGGCTCAGTATGGATCAGTATGTTTTCCATATCATCTGACAGTAAAGAAAAAATGCTTGCAGCCTTCTTTGCAGCATCCGTGAACCTATTTGCTCCATCTGCCATCCATCTTCTGCTTTAGCTCTTACATTCATAAAATATTTGCCTCCAGTAGCTACATTACTAATTTATTTTTTAAAAATATATTTTAATCAAAAAACCACAAGCATTTACAAGCATATGCTGCACGGAAACTTTCTTCACCATTATTTCCTTTAAAAGAAGATCTATTTCACATCCGTATTTGCTGTCATTTCAGTGGTATATTTTGCTTGCTTTTGCTTATTTTATTTTTAGATCAGGCAACTTAGGAGGCTGGAAGCCCTTTCTAAAGGGAGCATTTTTTCTAACCTGTTGTGGTTTAACCCCAGCTGGCAATAAGCACCACAAGACGCTTGACCACTCCCCATGCCCCAGTAGGATGGGGGGAAGAGAATTGGAAGGGTAAAAGTCAGAAAACTCATGGGTTGGGGTAACAAAAGTTTAATAATTGAAATAAAATAAAATATAATAATAATAATAAATTGTAACGAAAAGGAAAATAACAAAGAGAAATAAAACTCAAGAAAGACAAATGATGCAAATGACAACTATGGCTCACCACACTGGCCCACAAAACCTCCTGAAGGAAATCTGTATCCGAAGCAAAGGAATTCTGTATTTTCCTTCTCAGTAATATAAGTTTGTGGGGGTTTTGTGATCAGAAAAAGAATCGCTGCTGATGCTATATTTATCCTTACTCAACAAGCTGAAAAACAGTATCAATTCTATTTCATATCCAATGGGAAAAATACATTGTCAGATCTATTCTAGACCTATTTTTATGTTTGCTCCCATTCCAACGTTACTGCTTCACACACTTAAAAGTGACAGCATGAACTGGTTCTGTAGTTCAGTATTAAGTGTCTTCTACATATGTAAACTGGAGGTGTTCAAGGCCAGGCTGGATGAGGCTTTGAGCAACCTGGTCTAGTGGAGGGTGTCCCTGCCCATGGCAGGGGGGTTGGAACGCAATGATCTTTAAGGTCCTCTCCAACCCTAGCCATTCTATGATTCTATGATTCTATGATTCTATGAAACTTGACTACTACCTGGTGATATTTGTTAACAAATTCCATATCTGACTTAATAATTTATACTAACACATCCATTGCAAAAGTAGTTTGGGGGTTTTAACAATGTAGTATTGCAACCTAAAAATAATCTATTATTTAGTTAATATTTTACATGAAAACAACTGGAAGTCAATGTGAAAAGTAACAACTCATTACTTAACCTGCACCTTGCAACAGAAAAGGAAGTTAATTTAATGAAATCATGGACCAAATATTCAAACCTGGCTAAGAACATGCACACAAAGCAGGAAGATGCTCATCTGCACAAATGCAGATTTCTATCAAGTATTTTAGAACTAAATCTCATCCTTCCATTCTTCTACATATTAAAGAAAACCCATAAATAGTCATCATTTTATAAGCCCCTAAGGAAGGAATTAACAGTTTAGGAGAGCTCTACTCAGTACATGCTGGAAGATATCTACATATGGGGCCTTTTCCATCTCAACTTGAGATTGTTCTGAAATTCCGTGAAAAGTAATTACCATTAAATCTCAACTCCGAGTATCATAATGGACAAAATGCAAAATTAATCAGATTGAAGCCATTAACATCTATATGCTATTTACCCAACTATTCAGACAAATAAGAAGGATTTTATATTTTATTATATTAGATCAATTAGATTCCCCTAAAAATATGGTGGTTTTTTACAGGATCCTCCTACTCAAAATAGAACAGGGGAACACATAAATCTTCTAGTATGTCCCATATTGGCCTTTCCCATGTTCAAGAGGGAACAGAGAGGAGCACAATAGTGGATAGCATTATCTAGAAAATAATATATCAACAATTAATATATTTTGTTTTCTAAAATCTCAGATTTAAGGAGTTCTCGATGAAGCACTTTTGTTGATTACAGCAGTATTTAACAAGGTGAGAGGCAATCTTTTAAGCAACATTTTATTTATTAAAGTTAAAGAAATACTTAGAAATCTAAGTCAAAGGAAAATGTCATTGTTCTGTCAGCACTGGGACCAATTCACATTATGAGTTCTGTTGTTTTGTTTTAGTTTTTAACTGAAATGGATTAAAAGTATATAGGTTTCTTTTCCCATATTAAATGGATTTTAAGTATACTTTTGAAACTAAGAAGTATTACTATCATCAAAGACCATTTCAGTATGGATGTGGGACAGAAAATTTATTTATTTTTTTAAGGAAAAGTAAATGCATAAAATTCAAATTCCTGTTCAAACTGCAAGAATAAATAATACAGACACTAGCACTGTCACAGCTGACTGCTACACTTGCAATTACCTTCACACGGACATAAAAAATCTGATTTGAGGAAAAAATTAAGTGACTAAAATCCACCATGCATTGACTGTTGCTCACCTGAAGAGTTCAAGCTAGAACTGTCTAAAAGTTCATGTGGGATGTTCAAGATGATCAATGACAAAAATGATAATGCACAAAATACTTCAAAGAAAATAATGTTTTTTTGTTGAACAAAGATAGGCATATTTTTCTTTTCTAAATATGTGTTATTGTCTCAATACAGTAGCTGAAGAATATGAAACTGCTGATTCCATACACATAATTCAAACTGTTGTACACATACATGAGTACATGTGTTAAACTAGACAAAAACCAAATCAGTTTTAGAAACCTCAAACTAAATCATGTAATTTATGGAGTTAAATAACTAGCCTATATCATGGAGTTCAATAACTAGCCTATAAAAAAAACTTATAAACACTAACATTTAAAAAAAATTAATGTGCACTGGGAATTCTTAGTGCCACTTACTCAAATCAAGGAGAGGACAAGTCCTCTTGCAAGTAACTTCAGCATAGCCGTAAAAAAATTTTGCAATAGCAGAAGGCAAATGAAAAATAGGGCTTTTAGACAAACTCTACTAAGCTATTTCCTCTGGTAAAAGGCAAGCAAGAGGACAAACATCTAGGTCTGATGTTACTGGTGCTTGAGGTTAGAAGTTCAGAACGGCATCTGTCTGAATAACCAGTCCCCCTAGGAATCTGTTTACTTAATTAATATACAAACAAAAAAGATTTTTTAACTACGTAAGCCATTACAACTTAAAAAAAGTGTCTCAATTTTCACACTTTCAAAATTCAGGTAAGTTATTAAGGGATTTTCCTGTGTGCAATCACACAACCCTCTGCAAATCCTACATCGGGTAAACGATGAAAAATACAGCAAAGAGAAAATTCCATTTACTTGGGAAATAAAAGTCCTTTAGTAAGTTACACTGCCTAGTTTTTCCATACAATCTTTATTAAATTTAAACAGCCTCTCATTCTTTTTGAGCTTGCTATAATTTAACTTTTATTGAAAAGTAATTTTTAAAACTGTATGTTTATTTTTAGCTGGTGAAATTTAGCAGCAGCTAAAACTTCCAAGTAATTTCAGACTTTTTTGGTCTGTAATACTATCTCTAAGCATAGGTCTTTCAGTTATGATTTCCATTCAACTTCAACTTTGTTAACATCTTTTCTACCTTGCTCTTTCAGCCAACTTCTAACATTTCATAGACAAAAAAAATGAGCAGAATCTATAACAACTGTGCAGTATTGGCAACAGAGGCACATAAGCTAAGTTGCAGCATAGGGCTGAAGCAGCTGAGTCAAATTAGACAGTGAAACAGCTACGAAGTCCCGCTGAAAGGGTCAGGTCTGCAGCTCCAAAGCAGCACAGCAAATAAAAAAATTAAATGAGTATTTATCAGTTAAAGTTTAACTTTGACAAGAAGATTAACTTTGAATTATTCAAGTATTTAAATGGCTTTTAATAAATTATTTTTAAACCTTTTATGAGAGCTCAGCTTTGACAGTACGAGCTTTGGGATGACAGATCACATGCCTCATCCTTGCTAAATGATCCTTTTCTAATATCTTAGAGATAATTATTCTACTTTTCTTTTTTTAGGTTTGCTCTTATACAATTTATTTTTTTCATTTCTATTTAATTTTGAAAAACTAAGCTTCCAGTAAGACTGCAATTAACTTACACTGTGGATAACACAAGCAGCCCACACTGATAGAATGGTTTGGTGTTCATCCCCTCTCCATGGAGAGGATGTGGCCAGAAATCTGACAAAACTGATGTGTTACGTTAACTGGATTACTTACCAGTGAGTAGAGCTCTATCTGATCACCTCCTTTACCTACCATCACTGGCCTTTGGGGGTCTCCCACAAGCGCTGCACATGACTCTGGAGCCCTTGAAATTTCAAATTGCAGGTTGGTAAGCTCATGCATTGGCATATGTTTCAAGCATTGACTTGCCCCTTATTACATGAACTGCACAGAGACCCCTCCTCCCTCAGTTACCTTTGAACAATGTTAGTTTTACAAGGAGGTACGTGAAGTCCTGTAAACAGGAAAAGTTCCAAAACAAATAACTAACTTTCCCCAGCTCCCTCTATCCTTACTTTCTCTACAGGTCTTATCTTTTTGAAAATAGAACAATTAGCACCCTGCTAGAGAAAACTTCTTGTCTAACAACACAGAAGAAAAATGCCCAATTTATAACCAGTTTGTATTTGCACCGACTACAGAGAATAAACTTTTTTGCCAATTCTCTGGGATTTATACGCTATTTATATCAACATATGCAGCTACATAAGGCAGTGGACAGTCAGCTTACCAAAGCAAAGAGAAATGGCCAATCCAAAAGCCCACAGGCCCCAAATAAAGCACAGGTGTTTGATTTAATGAGATATACTTTCATATTGAACAGTAAACACAAATACTGTGACATTCTCAAACTGTAACAAAGGGTCTAAATTAAAACTACAAGTGAGGGGAAGAGAGCGAATTCTAATAGTTTTGTAGTACAAGTAATATGGGCCAGGTCAATGCTAGATGCATGCACAGATGCACGTTTACCTACCTGATATTTTAAATTTCACCAATTCCAGCTCCATAATGCAGTGCGCTCAGGACACATTAAAAAGTGGGAAACAGTGACAGAGATCCCAAGCTAAAGAAAATGTTTCAGTAAATAATTATCTGTTTGTGTTTACATTTGCCATATTTCCAGTTCAAAATGAGCAAAATATTTTTCATAGCACAAACAAGATACAAAGTGACAGACTGGTTTTCAAATAGCAACTTAGAAAGTTTTAATTGCACTAAGTTATCACTATATCATCCAAACATTAGGATGGTCAAGGAGAAGTGACTTCTGATGCTACATTAGTCTCATCAATGCTACATTAGTCTCATCATATACAACACAAAATTTATTAGCAACCAGCTGTAAGTTTAGGATGACACAACAAAATTTTAAACAGGAACTAACCTTTTCATTTGATTGTCTTCTTTTCTTTAGTTGAATGAGATCTGTTTCCACCTTTTCAGCCAACTCCAGCTTCCTCTTGTTCCTCTTGAAAGCTGCTAAACTAAACCCTACAAAAATAGTTCGAAAGCATTTAACTAAATAAAATTTACTTAATTTAAACAAATACTGATAAGCTGACATTTTGGAGGTCTGGTCCTCCACATTTTTACTGATGCAAAAAGCATTCATAAAAAAGACATCAACTAAGTATTGAAGTTTCACTACAAGATGTTTACATCTTTTCCTAAGTGAAAAAGTTCCACTATTGTTCAGCAACAGTGACAGGTAAAATGCCTAGAAGAAAAGTCGCTGAAAGGAAGCTATGTGGAAGCTATGTTGGTCTCTCTGTTTGTCAAAGAAGCAGCACTGCACAGAAGAGAATGGAATAAGTGGCTTGTGTTAAAACTATTGTTCGTGACTGCTGAGAAGTAAATAGATATCATACAAGCTCATTCTGATACCCACAAAATTAGGCTACTCTTTTTTTACCTTAATTGCATATCTGTATGTTTACTCCTATATTAAAAGCCACACAATAATCTAGTAATACTTTTATGTTCCATAATCCAACACAGTCTAAAGACCACCTAGGTCTTGAAAAGACAAACGTATTTTCCACATCTAAGTCCCACATTCAGAAAGGAAATGTTCTCTACAGTGGGGGGAAAAAAAATTGTTATACTTAAGAGACCAAAATTACATGTTCCCATTTTAGAAGTTTCAGTTCCTGAAAAAACTGCAGATACTGACATATTTACTTTAAACTAGTTTTGCCTTAATACTATCCACAGATTGTTTTAACATCCTCTTTGAAATGTAGAGAAAAGGGGAGGGGAGGGAAATGTCTTTTGTCACTTGCTTAGTCATGCAGAATCAAGCTATTAGGAGGGTAAGTCTCAAATTCAATGGAAGTTAAAAAGCACAGGTTTTGTGTTTAATCTATAAGCCTTAAAAACTGTCATTTTAAATTAAATTCCGAATACAGCTACACCACTATTATTCAGAAGACTGGAACAGCTGCAAGAACAGCCTATGAATAAAATCAATATTGCTGAGCCAACAGAACACAAAGCCTTCATTTACAATTCTCAAAGTACACAGACAGTGAGCATTTTACTTCTTTGAAACTTCCTCTTGCAGGTGCCAAAATCACCTAGTGAACTCTCCTTTAAACCTGTTTTCAAGTACATAAAATTGGACCTTAAACTACCACAGTTATTCAAGTATATAACCTAAATATAATGAGAAAGCTGTCATTTCTCTCCAAAAACCTAATGAATACCAGTTTCTTAAAACTGTAAACACATATTAATCTGCCATCACCGAGAAAGGACTTCTTTCTACCATATAGAGCTGATTAATGCAGCTACTTTGGACAACACATTTCTATGTTTGAAATGAGGTCCAGAAGGCAAAAAACAAACACTTGATAAGGGGGAGCAGGCAAAGAATCATTTCAGTCTAGTACTAATTGGGGGTGGGGAGAAACAAACAAAAAAACCTCACACAAATCAAGAATTTGTTAAACAGAAGTGCCCCAAAGTAAACCAAGCCAGCACACTATTTTTAACAGAATTTTTAAACAGGAGAACTTGTAAGTTGACATGACTTCAATAAATATAGCAAATAGCTATGGGCTGAGCCACAATATGGGTGAGCAAGAATGGTGGCTGGCCTTGGTACTAATCAAAGGTAGGTGTTACACAGGGATAAATATACCTAAGCCTGTTACCTACTGCCGGTATTGCCTACTGCCAATTCAGAAAAAAGGTGTACTTAGAGAAGCAAGATGAATATGAGGGTGCAGGAGCCCATGCAGGAAAACCTGAACACGAGAAGTTTTCCTTGTACTCCAGAATCTAATGCTAGAGGTGTCCTGAAATCTTCTGCAGTATTTGCACATTACACCAGTTCAAATATAGGCACAAAGATCACATCATGACTAAAGAACACATCAGCTAGTTCCAAGCTACCCTGCCAGCTATACAGAGTGATGCTCTACGGCCTCTCAGCATCATCACTACAACTACATCTTGGCTGCTACTTATCCTGCCATTTTTTCCAAAACATATGAAATTCCCCAAGCTTAAGCAAGACGTTTCATTCACTGAAGTCCTCAGTCTCTAGCTAAGCAGTTAAACAATTTTCAGATTTTACCTGGTACTTTAAGATTCTATTTGTCTTTTCAAAACAAGAAAAAAATGTAAAGATTTGCTTTGAAGATTCTAATTGTTCACAGTAACTTCTTATCTGCATTGTTAATTCAAATCAGTAAGCTAGGAAGTATAGGGCAGAAAACAGACCATTATTAACAAAGCAGCATACATTTTACTAATCAATAAGAAATATTAAGTATGAAATTAGGCTAGCACTGTAGCACCTTGTTCATTTTTACAGAATGGATGACTTACAGAATGGATACAAAGCAATGGTTTTGACTAACAAAAATCTATGCTTAGTCCTCAGGTGTCAGAAATATTTTCAAGTGCTGGGCACCTCAACTGCCTTTCAACTGTATGCTGGGATAAAGACTTGTCAAGCACTTCCTCTCTATTGGTTTTCTTACTTTACTAATCTCATGGATGGGATCAAGGATTCTTCTACTGGATGATCAGATATCCAGAGCCCCAGGAGATGCTGTGGCATGCATTTTTTACATATCGTAGACCATGTCAGACAGAGATGAAGAAAGTTTTCTAACAACCCACCATGATGTAGGTTGGAAGGGATCTTAGGAGGTCATGTAGTCTAACCTCCTAGGAAAAGCAAGTCCAATTCAAAAGTGCTACATAGGAACTTGTCAAGTTCTGAATACCTTCAAGGATGGAGATTTCACAACTCCTCTGGGCCTCTGTTCCAATATTTGATCAACTTCATGTTAAAAAAAAAATTCTTTTAAAATTAGTAAAAATTTCACATATTCTAATTTATGTCAGTCCTCACTCATCCTACCCCTGTGCATCAGACACCCCCATGGCTAAATAATATAACACTTAAATGCACAGAGAAGGGTCTAGGTTAAGGAAGTTAGCATGTTTCCCTAGTAAAATACACAACCTTCACAGATTCCTCCATCATGGTATCTAAAAAACCTAATCATCAGCTCCTATCATGACAGATACTGTAATATTTGTCACATTGGAAAGTTCATACTGTTACACTAGAGAGAGATATCAGAGAGGTACCAGTCATGGTTTCGTACTTCCAGATGACATGAATTTTTGATCAGAAATAGTTGAAGGTCTTTGGGGGGTGGGGAGCAATTGTTTTGGGGAAGTTCTTTTTAAGGTGTGGAGAAGGGTAGGTTTTTCATATCATGTCTCCCTTCCCAGAGTTACTTATATGAATTCATGTACTAATTCAATCACTCTTAAGTTTTATTTAATTTAGCATTAAATGTCATACCTTTCAATACTGTGAGCAATAAGAAAGTCTATTCAGGCTTCCCCTAGAGTGGAAACTCTTGCACTCAGGCTATGTTCAACTTCAGAATAATCATAGAATCATAGAATGGTTT